TTTTTCCAGCAAGGATGAAAGTCTCCTCTGCCTGAGGAGTTCTAATTGCACTATGATATGCTGCTTCTCCTCTCCTGAGTGGCGTTTCTTTGTGAAAGATCCTCACCGTCACTTTCACAGTGTCTCTGAAATAGAAAGGCCACAATGTTTCAGTAACATAAATGAGACACCGCGCTCCTAAATGTGGTGTTGAACATCGGAGTGTATCATCTATTGAATAAAAAAGTAGAATTAGCAGAACTGTAATGCTGTTTCTTTGCAGAATGCCACCTGCATTGTACCCTGTCCTCCAGCCCTCCGTTGGCCATGAGAGCAATGCGGGTGCTTCCCAAGACTGCTGATACCTCAGTCGGACATCGTGGTCACTGTGATGGCATCCAAACACCACCTGCAGCCTCCATGCTGCTCCTTTATATCAAAACCATGGCTAGCACCTATATGGTTTACTGAATGACTTACCTATGGCTCCTAGCCTAACATTTCCATCACAATAGTTCAACGTGACCAGCAGCTCTCACAGCATTTGAGGGATGCTATGGGCTGCTCTGGTTTCCCAGCTGATCTTCCTGCTCAAAACCACTGCCACCCCGTTGGCCAGTGTGCCCAGATGAGTATGGACTGGGTGCTCCTTAGCTGTGTGATGTACCTACCAAACTTTCATCCTGTAAGAGGACCTTTTTCACCAGCGAACGAGATAGGTGGTTGCAAAACGAGACAATACTGTAAGAAAGCTAGGGAGAAAGGGGAGAATGAGAATTTGACAACACATTTGCAGTGCAGACTTACTCAAATGCGTTTATCTAACTCATTTTATAATTTGGCATTACCATTCAAGCTCCAGCTTGCCCCTGATCCCATCAGGCTAGGGAAGCCTCATGTGGCTGGGATTAAAGGCCTGCTCTCATACCTTCCATCGCCTTCTGGCATATTGCCTTTTGAAGTTTTCCATGTTAACAACAGATTCTCGACGTACCAAAGCCTGTTGCTTGTCCACTGGCTGGAAGATAAGAAATGGCAAGTTTACTGCTTGGGTCCGTTTGACACATAAAACACGTTAGTTTCTTTTTATTGTAGCAGAGTTGACTGAAAAAAAATGCTGTGGAGACAGTAGTTCATAGAGGTAAAAGCAGAAGAAAAATAATTCAATTATTGAGTCTAGGACAGGACTCCTTTGATTTTAACCAAAATCCCTCATATTGCCCATGTTAGACAGCCTCCAGTTTGCTCATCACACTCAGCCTCATGTGCAGATCTGTTCTTAGGGGCCACTGCGGTCCCTTCCGCACATCATGCAGCACGGACTTGACTCCAGCCTTCACTTCTGCCTACCCTTTCCATAATGGTCCACACAAAAGCAAAAACAAACAAACAAAAGGCCTGGGAACAGCTTTTCCAGCCCAAAGGTAGGACGAAGGACAGCTGAACAAAAGAGAGAGATAAGTAAGGAGATGCCAGAGGATATAAAACGATGCTTTGCAAAGTTATCAAAGTGCTCCTCGCTGCACACCTGCATCCCTTCCTCCGGGTTACAGTGCTGTCAGCCCGCATTTATTTATGTCTGTCTTTCCAAAAGGCACTGGGAGAGCCAGAAGGTTGCCCGGGGCCTGGCAGAAAGGAGATGGGGCTGTTGACAGAACATCAGCACCGCTTCTCCAGGGCTGTGCACATGCTGGCTGGAAATAAAGACAGAACAGAAACAAGCCCAGTGCCACCGTCACACCGCTGAGGTCCCACGCCACCTCATCGCTCACAGACACCTTGGCACTTTTTCCCCCTTACAGAGATACTCAGAACTAAGGCTACCTTCCAATCTGAGGCTTTTCATTTTATTCTAACATGTCTTTTCTGAATTATGCTTTCGTGGCTTCTTCTATCAGTCTGATTTAATTATCACAGAAGCAAAAAACACTGATTCTGCGTTATGGAGACTTCGAAGATGTGTGGATAAGCTTGAAGCATTCATTATTTCAGATACGAGATGGAGGGCATGGAACATTCCCATGAATGTGAAATACGGAATAACTTTTGATAGACCTAGCTGTACTCTAGAACCAAACCAAGAAATGTGCAGCACGTTAGTCTGCTTGCTGGATCCCACAAAGCTGGTAAGGAAAACTTGGACCAGTTCTTCCAATCACAGCAAGGCTCAAGTAACCTGCGACTGGCAGGAATCTGTTGCAGTTACCCTGAGACTGACAGATTGCAAGGAAAATTAAAAGGTGGACCCAAAAAGGTAAATCTATAACCAGTTTTGGTCCGCACTGGATTTGCCATCAAATATTCCATTTTCATGGAACAGAGTCATGCTGTGAATAAAAGGTTTGCACAGAATCACTGCCTGGGTGAGGCTGGAAGGGACCTCTGGAGATTGCCTAGTCCAACCCCCCTGCTCAGAGCATCAGGATGTCCAAGTCCATTCCCAGTTTGAGTATCTCCAAGGATGAAAACTCCAGTAAGCAATCAATCCCACTGTTTGACCATTCCTACAGTAAAAAAAAAAAAAAGGTTTATTCTTAAGCTTAATCTTTTTCAACTTATGGCCTCTTGTCCAGGGCATGGCTGAGAAGAGCTCGGCTCTGTCTTGTGTGTTCCCATTCATCAGGTATTCACACACATTCCTGAGATCCCTTCTCTTCCCAAGGGGATGCAGTGCAGCCTGCTCAGCCCCTCCTGGCCCATCAGACACTCCAGTCCATTGTCACACTGGGCCCATTCCGGGATGTTTTGGGGAAGTCATCATAATAATAGGGGAGAATGTTAGATGTCATTTAATGTCAGTTTTCAGGATAAGTGCTACATGATATTCAAAAAGAATCGCTGAACACAATATACAGTAAACCCAAGAGGAAAAACCTTCAGTATTTGAGTACTAAGAAATGGATAGAAAGAAATACCAGAATTTAGACAAATGCCTAACAATTCTGCGGGTAAGCCTGGTGTCAAGGGGCAGATGCTCTGAAAGCCACGACACAGAGCCCTGCTGAAAGGGAAGCACCTCCGAATTCCCAAACCACAGGGAATTTGAAGATCTGTTGTTAGCCAGTCTCAGCCTCATTAACAGAGAGGCAGCTCCATTCCAAATGCAAGTCCTTGGGTTTGAAACCCACATCAACACCATGAAATGTGCTATATTACAAGGAGGAATATTCCTCTAGCAGCATTTAACACCAAATCTAGCACACTTAGGCCATCAGAGGGCAGAAAAACAATTTGATGATGACAAATTGAGGGAGCAGTATGATAGTACACATAACACACCTTATCCAGAGGAGAACAGAGAACTGCCAATTCTAATGGTGTATTTTCTTGGAAAATTAAGGACAAGGGTTGACATTGAATAAAGATGTGTACAAATCCCTGAGGTCAAAAAAGAAATAGGATCTTTTGCATTGCTTTTGTTTCCTATGATTTGCTAAAGTTGGCCAGCCTTGGAATTTCTGTAAGCAGATAAGGAAAGTGAAATTTCCTCTGCAATAGGAAACCCACCGACATCACCTAGCAGCAATTAAAGAAGCCAAGTCACCAGCCAGGTCTTTTTCTCATTTTGATGCCTACATCATTTACAGAAAACAGAACCCGGGCATTAATGCATTAAATATCATTTCTTCATGCTGCAAACTGCTACCATGGTACGAGCAAAACACTGAGTAGAAATCAATTTGAAGTGGGAAAAATGTCACTGGTTAAATGTCAGCCATACAGTAATCATGAAAAATTTCTGAGTGCCCTTTCAGCCGCAGAGCCCTCACTGCACGGGAACACCTTTACAGCTCCCCAGACTGCTGGAAACTGCCTCTCCATTTCTAAATATCTTTCAAAGCAGCAAACCTGTGATTTGACTTTCTCAGTCATCAGAAGCACCTTCTCAGAAGCACCAGGTCAGTGACCTCCTCAGCTCCCAGAGCTCCAGCTTCATGGAGTGACTCAGAGCAACGTTAACCTCACCCAGATACACTCAGGAACAGGGTGGCCTCATTTAAGGCCTTCTCCTTGGGCCAGGATACTCATACAAAAAGAACATCTCTGTGAACAGAGGATGTGGCATCACAACTGGTGAAAGGCAGAATCTCTTTCTGCAGAGGTTTTTGTACAGATATGGACTCTTCCAGGTTTTAAGTTACTTTCTAAAAATTAAAACTCTCCCCTTTCTAACAGTCCTGGGTTCTGGTTGCCCTGGACAGGAGCCCCATGTCTTTCTACTCAAACGTATCTCCAGAAATGACAAGTGAAGCATTTTCTGAGAATTCAAAATGAGCATGAGAAAAGCTTTCAATATAATATCTCCTCATCACACAGGAGCCCAGTTATCCCCAAAAGTCCACACTGGGCTGTGAGGGACATCATGTGGCTTGGAGATTCAGAAAACTCTACCTCTTGTGCAAGGTAAGACAGCACAGAGAGCACATTCGGTTTTCATCCTCCACCTCCACCAAGCCCAACGACAGGTTGCCGCCACCTCTGTTGAACAATTGTTTTCAGGACCCTGGTATTTTCACTGTTCTCTGCATGTCATAGGAGAAGGCAGCAGGTCTGGACCTACCGTACTGCACAAACTGGATGAAAGTGCTGTTATCTTTTTATCTCAAAGCAGGAAACATTTTTCTTACAATGTCAGGAACAACAATTCCCTCTAGTTAAGGCATTAATTTTCTGGAAAACAGGCTGTTTTCTGTGTTTCTGTGCACAGCTGAGCAAAGGGGCTGTAAAGCAGCTGCAGAGCCTGGCTCAGCACCTCCTTCCAACATACAGATGTTCAGCATCTCTTCCTCTCTCTGCCTGCACTGGTCGGGAGCAATTGCCTCCTGCATGAAGAACTATTTATTGTGTCCAAATATGAGACAGTAATGTTTAAGTGCAGTATAATCAGGTGTCTTTGAAATACAAGACAGCAGGTCATGAATTAATTCGGGGCCAACCCTTCTTTTACTTTCCACACTTACAAAAAAAAGAAATCTTCACAACACAAACACTGGTCTCAAATCCCACACAGTAATTAAGTTTGCTTTGCCTTCTTCCTCGTAGAAAGCAAACCAGAGGTCTATGATATTGCTTATCATCACTGAAAAATATTTGCACAATGAAATTACACACAGTTATTTGAGGAGTTCATTACAAATTCACAGTTTTGTCTTTCAAAGAGAATTTCTTTGGTACAGGATAGGAGACATAACTGAATTTAAACAAAAGAATTAATTGGTAACTAACACCTGTTGATATTAGAAGATTGAAGCCTGCAAAACTGGCCTAAAAAAATCATCTTAACATTTCTTTATCATCAGTCATTTTCCTGGAGATTTTCCACATTGGTAGATGTTAAAATTACTGCATCATTTTCTCTGCTTTACAGGACAGATTTAAGCTTCCTAAGGATTTCTCTCATGTGCTCCATAGCACTATCTGCAGCAGGTCTACACTGACATTTTCTTCACCCAACCAAAGATGCTACAAGGAGATTCATAGAGGTTTCCAGGTATGTGAACTCCAGGAAGCACAGGCTGGACTACTCTTCATTCCAGTTTAATTACCTTGTGATCTTCAGGAGCTGTACATACGATGAAGTCAGTGCACATGCCTGTAGGGAATAATGTGCTCCATACTCCTGTGATAATCCAGTTCCCTATAAATCCATACACAGGGCACAGGAAAACCACCTCAGCACTACAAACCACCAAGAGTTTGTGGACTGGTCAGTAGTAGGTGGTGTTTCTACGTGGAGATTATGCAGTCTGGCAAGTCAACTGCTGTACAATAAGGCAGACAGCAAAAACACACAATCTCTGCACCTAACCTCGTCTACCAACATTATTGATTGGATTCCACCATGTCAAGATTCAACCCTGCAAGGAATTCTTCACAGCAAGATCTGTTTAACAGCTCCATTACTGACTCATTAATATCTTTGTTGAACACAGAGTCAACATTTCCATTCACACGGCTCTCACTTCCGTTGTCCATTCGAAAACTATTCATTAAATCCTGGATCCACTTGAGTTCTTCGGAAAGTTCTTGCCTTAGAGATTCGAACTGACCCTGCAGATCAGCGTATTTCCCTGTAACGCCTGTGATACTAGTGCCTACAGTCTTGATATCATCCTGCAGGTGCCTTTTCAGGGACTCGATTTTACGGTACTCATACTTGAGCTGAGACAGCTGGTGCCTCACGCTTTCGTGCTCCTCTTTATACCAAGCTTCCTTCTCGTTATAAATTGAAACCAGAGCGTCGATGTCCTCCTGTAAGGAATCGTGGGACACAGCCAGAGCGCTGAAACCCCGCTCCATAAGGGAAATGTCTTCTACTACTCGGGCAAAGCGCTCGAAGTTGATGTAGGTGTTATTGGGAGGCATGCTCGAGTGGCATTTTATGGTGTACTCTCTTAGGCGTTTTGTCTTCAGCTGGGTGTTCTCAACTTTCTTGTTTTCTTGGACTTTTGTTTCTTCTTTCAGCTTCAGACAGAGGAACTAATATTACTGACCGTTTACAAGACAGGGCAGTCATTCAAACTCTACACATCAAAGGATGCAGCCTGAATTTCCACAACAGTGGGAGATTCTTTGCTCCCAGAGATTTTCTTGCATGCATTTGATTAAAGGAAAATAAAAAACTAATGTGATGAGCAAGGCGCATTCATTCCAGTGTGGTGAGTGTAAATGAAAGGGTCTGGTTTATTTTCATGCTAATTTTTAGCAGATAAGTCTCAAAATTATCAATCCTGGAAACGCTCCACTTAATGCTTTCTGCAGTGCAGAGCAAAAACTGGATTTCTAACATCCTCATTAGTCATGCTAAGATTAGACCAATCTATTTTCAGTAAGACATTTATCCATGAAGGCAAGCAATGTTTAGGATGAAAAGAAAAGTACAGGCACACAAATGCAAGCAAATCACACTTGGCACAGCAACTGGCATTTTCCACATTGGATGGGGTCAGCTTTCAACTGCTCTCTAAATATACTAGAGATCAATTTTTCGTTTAACAAACCAGTGAGAATGGAAATGTCTCTGCTTTGCTCATGGAGAAAAGCGAGATCTGCTTCTCTATTTGTTCTTACCGTTATCCATGGATGAGACAGAGCTTCCTGGATGGTAAGGCGTTTCCTAAAAAAACAACCAAAGAAAAGAAGAAAAACACAGATTTGAGTGAGGAGCAGCTTGTACTCGTGTCCATTGACCCACACTTCTCCCAGTGCTGGACCTGTGCAAACACCTCACCTCAAACCATCCCCTTTCCCCAGATCCTCTAAGGTTTGCAGGGATCCTGGCTGAAGAGCTTGCCTCGTTCTTCCTAATACTCCTAATATCTGTTTTCTCCCCTATTGAAGCCATGAGAAGGAACTACAGCAGCCTGACTACCCTTCAGGAAAAGAAGGGGTAAGGGCAATGAGAGCCTCTTCCTGAGTGCACTTTACTAAAAGCAACAACAAAACTAAACAAGGTCTGTGATTCCTGGAAAGAGAGAATAAAGCTCTGCATAGTTATCACACAAGATCCAGGTGATCTTAAGAGCAGCAGAGTGTTATGTGCATTTATGTGCACGCATGTATGTGTGCACAGCGCGAGACCTCAACTGAGAGCAAGGCTGATGGGGTGCGTCCTGGCCTGTATATTCTTAAGTCACACATTTTAGCGATATTAGGATGTGGCTAGAAATAGGGAAAACAAACAAACTGCTTTTCAGTATGAAAAAATAGATGCAGCCACTTGAAAATACAGGTTTTTATATACTTGCCACTATATGTGGTAGAACAGCATATACAGTGCAACATACTCTTTCAGGAATAACATGATGCAGATGCTGCTCAGTAATGGCCTGCCTCCTTCAGCCCTGCCTCGTCTGCTCAGAGCACAAAGTGTCAGGGGACAGGGACCAAGCTGAGCAGCCTCCCTGCCTTGCTTAGGGCCCCCATCTACCAAAATTTCACCAGAAACAGAGCAGAAAAGCAGAGCAAAACCACAGCAGACAAATCCCGCAAGGATACCGCACAAATAAAAATGGAAACAGAGGAAATACTCTGCGTGTAAAAGCAGCTTGAGCACTACCTGTGAGTATTTAAACGTCAAAGTGTAATGCAAAGGCGAGTGGCAGGTCCTGCCATACCCAGGGGATGGTGGCACAGAGCTATTTTCAGGGCTTCTGGCTGCAGCAGTTCCCCAGGGCCGCAGCAGCAGAGCTTGCTTAGCGAAAGCAGAGGTCTCTTTCTGAGTTTTCCCTTACCGTGTGTCTTTCACCAGGAGTTTCTTGATAAAATCTTTTGCTAGGTCACTGGTATTGCTGAAAAATTCTTCATCAAACTCGTAGTTGACAGCTGTGATGTTGGCAAGTGTTTCCTGCTTGGTCTCTCCAAGGAAAGGTGATGCACCACTAAGCCTAAATAAGACAGAAAAAAAAAGAATCAATTGGAAAAATAAGCAGGAGAGATTCTGTAATGCAAATTACAACAGTCATGTAATGCACTCTCTACATTTGTGGATATCTGTGACGGAGCAGCCAGGCATTTGGGTCCAGTTTTGACTCATATATTTGTGCTTATGAGTCAGACTCATCCCGTGCAGCACTGCTGTGTGCCCACAGAGAGAGAACTGCACAGATCCTGCCACGCTCAGGGTCTCCTTGAAGCCATCGCTAAACCTCACCTGACTGAGGAGAAGCTCTGTCCCTGCCAGCGTGTAACATGCCAGGCAAAAGCTTCTAAAATCAAGCAGAAATGGGATTTCTACAGATTTTCATTGGGTAGCAGGAATCCTGCCCCTTACTGCTCTTCTCCTTGCAGATTTAGTGACTTCCCTGAGCAGTAGGTACAGTCTAAAACACTGTCCCAGCTGGATCTACAAGCAACACGTGATGGGGAAATCAGATGTGTGGCTTTGCCTCACGTGCTGCAGGAGAGGGAGGCACTTGCTCCAAAGGAGCCCCCAAACAAGACAGCGATTTTTAGCTGCAGTGAAATCCAATTGTTTGAACAATGCAAAATTCCATGCAGTTCAAAATGGCACTCAGCAGTCTCTATTTGGACAGGTAAAGCTTTCATCCTGCTTTGCCTATGTCGCTGTGACTGGTGTCCTTCGTTGTGGCTCTGCTCCATAAAACTCGAGTGTCAGCGCAGGCTCCTCCCGCCTTGTCATCCCCCTTCTTACTCCAGCTCCCTGGAATGCTGACTTGCAAAGTCTGCTTTACAGGAAATGTTATTTATACCGAGGTAATTGATCTCATCCCTTTTTAAAACCTTCAGGTCTGTTGTTATTCCTGTCTACCGGGGCTAGGCTGTGATAACGTAGCTCCAGGGAGCAGCAGGCTCAGATGCTTGGGATCTAAGCTGGAGGTTCAAATGCTGAACTGCTGGCTTGCAGGAGCCTGATCCAAAGACCTTTTACCCTGCGCCTGCCACGTGGACGTGGGATCCATATGGGATACTTGGGGACAAGCTGGATGGAACCGCCTCGGCCACTCAGCCCAGTCCCCAGCTGCCACACATGGATCCTACACCCTGAATACACCTCCCAGGGCAGAAACCCTTTGGATTTGGGAGCCATGGGAATCTCCTGCATCGGCCACAGCCGCTCTCATCACTTAGCAAGTTTCACTAAGTCTCCCCTTGAGCGTCTGCTCCGTTTCCACGGGCTGTGGAGACGTCCTGTGACCTGCCAGACGGAGGGGCCTCAAACCCTGGCGCCCGACCCGGTGGCTCCTGGCACTCCCTGGCTCAGGGCCGGCCACCGTCCCCTCCTACCTGCAAGGCCTCCGAGATAAAGGCTCGGTGCTCCCAGTCCAGCCCACTGAATCACTCCTCCAGGCACTGAATTGAGGGCTGGTAAGCACCTTACGGGGACACCTGTACACGCCATCCATGTGAATGCTGCATTTGCCAAGGCATGCAGTATCTTTACTCACCCCAGTTATTCAGAGTTCTTCAGAACGAAAGGCAATAAAATTTACAGGCAGAGCTCGCCGAGGCCATAAAAGCTGCTATTACACATCATGCCATTTAAGCACACCCTCCTCACACCCAGAAAATGCTCTTTTTCTTCCTCTTCTTTTGTACAGTAGGGTTATTTGCAGACTTATGTGCTACAGCAATCTTTACCAGCCAACTTCAAACAGATCTACTGGCACTGGCTGCAGGCTGGAGCAGCCACTGCACGACTCTGCCTCCAGAACAGGGCTGCACTGCAACCAAAAAGCCTCCTGAAAGCACCTGGGCACCCAGGTAATCACAGGGTAAGAACTCCAACCCGCTCCTCCTCAGCCCCCAAGTGCTGCTCTCAGCTTTTATAAACCCCCATAAATAGCAATTTGCAGAGCTGAGTGTTTTGTCACTCATGACACAGAGTGCTGATGAAGAGCAAGAGTCTGGACAGCTTTAAACTTCTTCACTCGTCATTGGGCTTCTCCAGGATGACCCTGTATTTCTCTCCTGTACCACATGATAGAAGGGATTTTATTGCACTGAGGCTGATTTCTCAGCCCATGGCTCTTGTGCAGCCCTGGACATTGCCTGAGGGTGGATTTGATTCCTCTCTGTTTATTTTCCACACTGGGGCAGCAATCCCTCCCTTTCAAGCTTCTATACGTGCACTGAGCTCAGTGCTGTTCAATGCAGAATTCCCTCCAGTACTAGTGGGCACCTTCTCCAAACTGGACAGCAAGACAGGCAGCCTGGCACGAGCAGCAACATGAGGCACATCCAGCCATCAGGAGCTGGATTCCAACGGGATCAGTTAGGACAGGCATCCCCAACCACTTCTCCAGTTCTTACTACTCCACTGCATGAATCCGGCACCACTCGGGCACTTCCACAGCTAACTGAGCTCCATCTCAGAACTACCTCATGTGCTTGTGCCCAGCATGCCCAGGAAGCCTCATTTCTTAAAGTGTGAACTTGTTTTATTTTCCCACTTTTTCTTATTCATCACTGGTTTATATGCTCTTGTTCTAATAGTCTTGGGAGAAATCTCTTCCTCTTTCTTGTGCCTACCAAGTGCAGCAATATTCCCACCAGCTTCTTCTCCACTATGTTAAATGAGCCCTTTGTTCCCCTGTAAAAAGGGTTGTTTTAATTTTGAATAGGCTGCAGAGGGTCATTTGTCCACTAGACAAACAACCACCCACACCTTCAGTGCAGCACTTTTCTTACACAACTGAAGGGCTGTGTTTTTTTAATGCAATAGAGCAAACAGGGTTATTTCTACAGGAGTGAATCTACCATTGTACTTACAGTATGTAGGTGATGACTCCTATACTCCTAAAAAAGAAGGAGGAGACAACTAATTACAGCTGTTTTATATCATATGTATTATTTTTAAAGTATGTAACATGAAAATGACAACAGCAGTTGCTAGACAGGCAGAAGGGCCATGGTTTTGACAACGACTAATACCTTTCATAACAAAATGATGATGTTTCAGTGAAAAGACATGGATTTTACACATAAATTCAAGTAAGGTTGATATTTGGATGCATTTCTACAACGGTAGGCAGCGAGCTACCGGGCACAAAGAAAAATACAAGGAAGGATGTTTTACTTGGGGTAACTCCCTTCACTGCCTCTCAGCAGATCAGATGGGCACGCAGGTCTGCTCTGCACGCAGGGCTCTTACAAAGGAGGCTGCCACAGGCACTGCAGGAACACGTTGCTGTGGGCAGTGGCACAGTGTTAACTCTTAACTGCCATCATTAAAGCTTTGCACTCTAATTTGGCACACATTAAATACTCACCTTTTTATCACAAACAGCGCATTAAAATAGAAAGAAAGAATTGACAATTAACAATTGCATTTAATGTACTTCCTTCTTAATTTGTTGTGATAAAATGAGAGCAACTGGGAAAAAAACAAGTTAAAAACTCACCACATATCTGCAGCTAGTCCAAGTGGTTCATAGTTTACTATTTCTGGAGCTGTAAGAGATATTTAATCAAATATCAGCAACTGAAGGGGGAAGAAATAATTCACAAGTTGAATGTGCAGCAGGTCAAGAATTATCTCTGCTAAAGAAAAAAAGCAGCAAGTGAGAGAGGAAGAACTAAGTATAGGAGGCACTTTCTGTTTAATGGTTTATTATTCTGGTCAGAATCAAGTTCCCAAGTGTCCCTAAGAAATCCTATGGAGTAAGAGGGTGCGCAATGCAACTCAAGAATAAGGGTCAGGCAGTTATGGTCTAACTGCAGTACAGATCATGCCTGCAATAACAAATGACTTCACCTAGCAAGGATACCATTATCCCCAAGAATCTGAGCTTTGCCCTGTTTTCTGTTTTGCTTTCAGAATGACATTTAACTAGGGCCTCTAAAGGTAGTTTCTACTGGCCAGTGAGAAACAGCCCTTAGGCGAGAGATTAAAGTCACTTGCCAGCCTACACTACTATTCATATTATTCTTATTATACTATTATTATACTATTATATATTATTATACTATTATTATTATCTTTAGGGAAACACTCTCTAGTTGAAAAACACCCCCGTGCAAGACTGCATGTTGGAGGAAAGAGCAAGGTGAGGTGCTGAGATGAGCAAAGTAGCAGAGCTGAAATATGAGTTTATGTTGTTACATAAACTATATGTGTGCTTAACTGGAACGTGGTTTACAAACGAAACAAAACTAACAACCTCCCAAACCTCTAACGGAAAGGAGCAGGATTAACCACAATCCAATCTAGACAGACTACAGATGTGACCAGGATGCAGCAAAGAGGATCAGGTGGAAAAATGCAGGGGGAATTGAGGGGTTTGGACTCCACAGGTGTACAGGGGGAAGCAGCTTTCTCTAGAAAGCATCAACAGTGACGTTCATGTCATTAGGCAGCCATGTATAGAGAACTTACTTGCCCCAAGCCAAAGGTACAAGACTGGAATTTATACTGCAAAGTTTTCAGTCTCAGTTCTGAAATTGTATCTCACTATTCATTTGGCTGCAAGCTGCTCTCGCAAGACCATCAGGTCTTGTCTATGCAGAGCACCTTTCTCCTGCTCCAAGAACCTCCAGATTTAAGAGAGTCCCAATGAGGTGAGAACAGCTACTTCAGGAGATGGAAACCACCCCTATGTCTGGATTCTTGGTCTGGGAAAGGTGTCTTACCTTTCTCATGGAACTTGTTATTACAAACCAAAGGAAGTGACCACTCACTCACCTACAAATTCCGGAGTCCCAAAAATGTTTTTAAATTCAACTCCATCTTCTATTTTGTGAGCCAGGCCAAAGTCGATGAGCTTGATGTGTGGAATAGGGATATTCTTGTCTAGAAGCATAATATTTTAAAAAAAAAAAAAAAAAAAAAAAAAAAGGTATTTGTTATTATAACATCTTGGGAAAGTAACAGATTTAGGCCTAGAGTTCTCATACCTTTCTTCCCTCACATAGACAACACTGTAAAGCAAGAATGTACCTGTGCCCTGATTTGATAAAGGGACAATAGTGAAATTTGATGTTATTGAATGGACTAGAACTTCAGAGCAGCAAAATGTGTATGTTTCAGACCTGATAAAAATAATACTTGCCTCCCCTTATTGTCTTCATTACTATCTCGTACAAAAACTCCCTCTCCATCTCTTCCCTTAGCATCTGTAGGCTCCTCTTGCTCATGGCAGCTAGTGCCAGGTGGTAGCCAAGAGATCCCTGTTTTGGCAGTGGGGCAGCAGTTGTTCACCCAGCTCTCTGCTGTTGCCCAGTGTGACTGTCCCTGGACTATCTGTGCAGCAGAATGGCCCTGTAAGATGAAGTGAAAGCTTCAAACATCCTGTCCCCTCCTCACACAGAAGACACCTCCTGGCCTGCAGGGTCTCCTGGGAAGATCTCCCACCTCAAGCCCTGCGTTTGCCCGAGTCCAGGAGCTGCTCCCGGAGAAGGGGCATCCTCGGAGCAGCTGCTGAGCACGTGGAGCAGAGCAAACACCCGGCGCCGACACGGTCGGGCCCCAGGTTGCACCACCGGGTATTCGGGTTGCCTGCAATTTTGCTGATCTCTTCATGGAATTTGCACTGGGAGAGCTCACTGTTTCTGCCCAGCTGCTCCCCTTTTGGAAGGTTTTTGAAAGATTCTGGACATACCTGAATCTGCTTTGAGAGGGAAAATACTCCCTTGTATGAGACTAAATTAATAGCTGCGACAACGAGGTCAAGGAAGATTAGGAATTTGCTACCTGAATAGTCTTGAGATTGGAAGGAGCTGGAATTAAAGATTATCCTGTCTCATGCGCGACAACAAGTGACAACAGAAAGCAGCATTTCCCACAGCAGTATAAGGAAAAGCACTGAGCCAAAGCCTGAGGAACTGTGAAATTAAAGCTACCCTTTCCCAACCACAGACTTTGGCTCCACATTCTTTACCAGACACAACATCTATTTCCTAAGCTTTTCAGTTTCAGAGTAACCTGAGGCTCCCGTTGATCCCTGCTGCAGGGCTTGGGTGCGTCAAATCTTTCAAGAGTTACTCCCAAGACCAGAACATCCGTGAGAGACCTTAATTGGCCGCTGGCAGCTGCCTGGCCTCCGTGCAGCAGATCCTAATGGGCAAGCAGCCCCTGCTAACACACGGGCTCGCTCGGGAAAAGAGGTCACATCAATAATTTATGGCCACAGCCATTGGGCCACGTGGATTTTAGCCTCAGGCGAACCCGTCTGGGCTTCCTTTGGGGAGCTGGGACATATGTGCTCATTCCAGATGTACAATGTAAGCTTGTTTGGAGTGGACAGAACGGACTGAAATGGCAAAAGGCTATAGGCAAAGGTCGCTACCTCCTGCACTGTTTCACTGTGGTGTGAGCCAGCGGAGATCCACTGCAACCAAAAGAGCCCTATCAAACAATGAGCAGATTATAAATCACCTCTCTAATCAGAATACTGCTTAAAATTGCATCTAACACCAGGCTGAACTCAAAAACCAGTCCAGCAAAACCAAGGAGAGCTATTCTGTCAATGTGTTTTACAGCATTTGTCTTTCACTACCAATGAAAGGATTCTCTACTCACCCATTCTAATCTCTAATTGCATTTTCTGTAACATCTTTATTGACCACCCAGCATTCCTGGCACTAAATATCAGAATCAGTAGCGAGAGACAATTTGTTATTTATATTCTCACAATAACTTGGTGCCACCAAACGTGAGGCTACTTTTCTAGCCTAACAATTTGTGAATACAGCCTAACAACAGTGAATACAATTTGTCTTGAATGTCTGGGTTCATATAGTAATTATAAGATCATGTGTTTCTATCCACCCTTGCATGCATTCATACATCTCATATGCTTTTTCACATGTACCCCAAAGTGAAGACTTGAAGAGTAGTTTGCTAGACAGTTTGATAGGTTAAATGCATTTGTAACAACTACATTTATGACACGAATGCTAATTCAGCAACAAGACCTTTAAGACTCTGTTTGGCACACTCTTAGCCCAAGGAATCACACCATATATCCTGGGAATACGGGAACAGTCTATCCACATCACATGCATTAGTGCAGTCATTAATAATAAATCATCCCAGAATTAAAGATAGGACAAGGAACATGTGATCTAGCACTGCAGCTTCTTTCTTTATTTTCTTTCCTTCTATTTTATTCCACTTTCCCAGGAAATGAGCGTGTGCTGAACTGAAAGCAGCCGTGCCTGGGGCAGCCAGTTCTGCAGCTTTCTCGTTGTCTCTAGAGTTTTATCCCCAAAGGGGACAGAATCCAAGCTTCAGAGAGGCAAGTTCACCTAGGTAGGTCACAATCCAAACAAGAAAGACTGTCTGTAAACCATTTAAAATGGTTTATACCTGTTCTTTTAGGTACATTATCATATGCGAGTATTCAACAAACAGTAGAAGCTGCGGTCCTTAAATGATGACGACAGAAGCCCTCAGCCAGCATCTTTACCTTTAAATCAAAGTGAGCAATTTTATTGGAGTGAAGGTAATTCACACCATCCAAAATCTGCTTGATGAACCTGGTTGCTTCCTCTTCACTCAAAGACTCCTTCTGTGCCAAGAAGTCGAAAAGTTCTCCTCCAGACACCCTGCAAAACACATCAGGAAATGTCCCGTTACCTACTGCATTGTAAGTCACATAAATTAAACACAAGCACAAAAGCTGAAGTGGGAATAAAGCTCTAAGCAGTTTGGAAGGGCCACCCTTGCAGGCAACACAACAACTGCGTGTCCTGGTCCCAGCTTTGCCAAAACTCCCTTTTAGCTTTTCCTCCCTTGTAAAATGAGTTACCTTCCTCTAACTCAATGATGCTGCAAGGTTTAATTAATCAAGAGTTATAATGGACCAAAAAGAGGTGCATTTTCTGTTGAATTTACAGACATGGTAAAGGACTGCTGTTTTTGTCATCAATAACATGAGGCAAGTAGATCTGCCAGCAAAATCTGGTTCCATTAAACCCTTCTGCCATGACAATCTTCTGCTGCAGACTTTTCCTTGACATATAACCGCCAGGAAAGCAGTCATCCTGTGCTGAGTTTGTATAAATACAGCACATTACAGTAGCTTGGAAAGTACCTTAAAATTGTCTTCCCAAAAAAAGGAAGTGGAGGATTATTGCATACTATTGGGAGTACTCGCATTAAAACCGAGTATCTTCCATATATATTGAGTGCATTATACCTGTTGTTATTTTTCTCTCTTTTATTGAGAGCTAGAGCACTATATCTCTACCTATTTTGAAGCAGGATGCTCCAGTTACTTCATTTGCCATCACCTGCAGCTTTGTTGCTTATAATAACACCCACTTTTGTTGTTCCCAGTTCCCCATTCAAAGGGAGAGCAGAAGTGTGAGGCGGGTCTCAGGGCTCTGATGCATCTACCTCCAGCTGGGCTTGCTGCTCAGAGCACAAGCAACAGATTCGTGGCATCCAAAGCCATGTTAGAAGATGAAGTTTTGGCCCTGTTGTCTGCAATGCACCAGTAAAAACCTGGCAGTTTCAAACGCTTTAAGTTCACACACAGTTGTGACTCGGAGACAAGTCGGATCTCGCTGTTTGGGCAATGCTACCTCTGAACCAGGCATGGCACCGGGGTGACTGCACAGTGATTCCTTACGCTGCCTCTCTCAGCTACAAAACCTGCAGGGAGAAGTCAAGTCAAAGCCAGTGCAAACAAGAAGTCAGTGTGAAAGCCACGAGACCTTGGCCTTGGCTCGTGCTGCTGCTGCGGCTGACAGTTCACAGCACCCACATAGCTAAACACTTTGTGGACAACGTAAGGCAGGACACAAAGCATATTCACCTGTGGAAAAGTCACCTGAGGCTTTAGTTATGATTAAATGGTCAGAAAACAAAAAATAAACTTGAGATGACCCAGGGATACAGCACGATTGCTGCCTGTGTGTTTTTGCTTTTCCTTCCTCCTCCCCTTAGTCACTCAGTCCCAGAGACGCCAGCTGCCTTTTCAGGTGACATCCAGGGTCTCACCCCTGCTTAACAGCTTTCCTTCTGCTCTGGTCACTTCAGGACCCTGGAAACTTTGCCTCTTTTTCCATGGTTGTAGGTTGGTTGAATTGAAACAATCAAAAAAACTAAGAACAACTAAGTACTGCCCTGGGCCAGCCTGGCAATTCTACAGAATTCCACAGAAAAGCAGGAGTTGGTGACACAGGAGGTCGTCTGAGCCAAAAACAGCTGCTAGTCAGAAGCAGAAAGGTCCTTTCTTGTCCCTCAAAGCCTGGCTGCGGAGACCAGCATTTGGCCATCAATATATACTTAAAAATGAGCAGATGCTCCTCATCACTCAAACAGCAGCTGCCAGCAGCCCCATTAATCTCCGGGAATGCTCCCTGGCCTAAACACTGCCTCCCCTGGAAAGCCACTGGTCATTTCATCTCGCTCAGGGATAAAGCCTCGTTGTCCGGACGCCGTACACACAGCAAGGCTGCAGCAGTGCTCTTGGGAACACATGGTGAGCGTAAATTCAGCCCTGCTATCTCTGCATTTCCTGACTTACGAATTCAGAAAAATGCAGTATTTAGTAGGTATCTAAAAATTGCTGGCAAGTGAAAGACCTCAGCATGGCTCCTTGTTCACAGCCATGTAGACCCGTGCCATGGCTTGACAGATCAAGAATGTGTCATCTTCTGCACTCTAAAACTCAGGGTTTGAAACCAGGTGATACTGACTCCAAAGAAGAGCAGCACCGAGTGTCCCCAAATGTCTCCCTCCCTCCCCTGTGTGGCAAATTCCAGTCCTCCCCCTGGCCAGGACTGTACACCCTGACCAGCAAGACTCAGTTTGTCAGAAGACCCACTTCCAGTTCTGGCTCTGTCGAGCACATGACACTGCTTTGTGCAACAACGCCTGGGTTCCTGTGGGCTGTCAGGTGTCCGTAGATGGGACACAACCACCGTGTCACGGCAGGAAAGCTGAGCCACACAAACATACCCGGATGAACACCCGCAGCTCCGGTGCGATCTTGCAAACCTCCCCTTCAACCTCTCCTTTAGAGGCTGAAGTTACCCAGAGAGCAATATCTCCAAGTCACTTTGAATGACGCTGGGTTTCCAGGTCAGGAGGCAGAAATGCTGTTTACAAAGAGCACAGCTCTTTTGGCTGAACCGCAGAGAGGAATTTCTTCTTTAAAAATTAACCTTCGCCTCCCTCTTTACTGTCAGGGCTCTTCTGCATTTAAAAATGGGTGTCTAGAGGCCCTTTATACCCCTTGCCTTGGCCGAGTAGCAAAAACACCTGCACTGCAGGGCACAGGAGGAGCTGGGGGAGCCGCTTCCCAGGGAGCTCAACCCCTTCTCCTGCCAAGGGCAGGGGGGCCCGAGGGTCCCATTCCAGCAGCCTCAGCTCCCTGTCCTGCTCGCCCAGCTGCCCCGGAGGGCAGGCAGCCCCTCACTCACAGCTCGAGGATGAGGACCACGTCCGTCTTGTTCTCGTAGATGTCGTGCAGCTCGATGATGTTGGCGTGCAGGACCTGCTGCAGGATGGTCACCTCCCGCTCGATCTCCTCGCGCCTCACGCCGCGCCGGCTGGCCCGGCTCTGCCGCTTCTTGATGAACTTGGCAGCGTACTCCACGCCAGTGCTTCTGTCTCGGCATTTCTTCACTATAGCAAACTGGCCACTGCGTAATAAAAGCATAAAAAAAAGCATAAAAAGCATAATAAACGCTGAAGCTCTCAGATGAAAGAACTGTTCATCTACAAAGCTTGATCCTGCAAGCCCCCAACAGCAACAACGCTGCCACTCCAGGCTGCTCTCCCGACAGCAGTGAGGACTGAAAGGACACGCAGGCATCAAAGCATCTCCTTGCAGGATAATCTTTCAGGAAGGGGCTCAGGGGGATTGAGGACCCTTTGGAAATGTCGAATTGACCTCCAGTAACCAGTTTATTTTCACAGAAAGTACTGTCCTATTCACAGTTCTGCACTTCCCTGGCAAGCTTGGCTATAAATGTAATCTAAGTGCATGCAGTTCATGCTCTGTCCTTGCTGTCAGGACAAGGAGAGAGAAGTTCCCATCTTATCAGACAGTGGTTTCCAACAGGCACATACCTGTCATTTGCTACTGCAGCTTTCCTTGCTGTGGCTCCTAGATTAAGAAATTCCAGCCCAGTTTTAATAGTTCCTTGCTATCTCCTAAGAGGGGAACATTTGGTGGTCAGATGACTATTTCAGCACATAACGAACGTAGAGGTTGCAGCGTCATGTCAGTGACAGGAACTTTTTGGAATGAGGCCCTTTTTATTGACTTTCTAACAGGGAACTCTGCAGTCCTGCTTTATTTTCCTTTGTGTGAGCCTTTCTGCTTCATCATTCCCTTGAGAGGCACTGTTTGAACGTTACACATATGCTGTCCCCAGAGCCGAGGTTTCCTTCATCTCTACAGCTGCTTTTCAAAAAGACTAATCCAACCGAGTGGTGTCTTAGCAAAATTAAGCAAGAAAAGTGGTAGCTTTTTAGTGGCGGCTAAAACAGGATTTGAGAGGTAAAGACTTTGTGTTAGGCAAGAATACAGGCAGAAGATTTAATTAAGCATACCTTATCTTTCTATTACAAATTTAATTGACTTAAATTTGTAACGCTAAGCAAAGAGGGTAGCAGGCTTGTAGATTTAAATATGTATTAACCCCATGGCTTGATCTGCACAGGTACTAAAATACTCAGTCTGAAGCTATATGAAAACTTGAATGGCTTGAGGTTTCATCATAAACTCTAACTTCCAACTACTCTTTACTAAAAAGAAGTTAGGATAATTTGTTTTTCATTAAATTCATGGAAAATCCCCGTTTGGGTACAAAAACCTCTCCAGCTATTAATTTTCCCGCAGAGCTTCCAAAACCAACTCTAAACTGAACATGTGTGAACACAAGAGAAGCTGGAGTTAACAGAAACCACTGATAATGGTTCTCTGCAACAAAATTAAGCAGACTCTCTGGTGTCCAGCTCAAGCACTTCCAGCTCAAGCACCAACGAGCACCGAGAACACTGGATTTAACACCTTGACATTGGTTTCGGTCACCTGCAACGTGGTGAGGTCGGTCTGCTCCATCCAGAATGAGTCTCCTTCGTTGCTCCTGCACATTCCTCGATAGGAAGGTCTAGTATTTTCTACTACTATTCAATAACCTTTTTTACATAAGGAATAAAATAAACAAAGCTCATTTTTTCAATTACATAGGCCATCTCAGAACCCCTTGGTACCTGATTATCCCTTCGTGACCAATCGTTACTTTACCTGCACACCCACAACCAGCAGTCTGACAGTGCAGACCTGCCCACAGCGGTGCACAGAGCACAGAATCAGGCAGGAGGTTGAACGGGAGCTGCTGGAAAACAAGGAGCTAGTGGGGAAGCTCCACAGCACCGAGCCCAGCTAGTGGGAAACGAGTCTGTCGGCAGCGGGTTGAGGTTGAACCATATTGCCATGGTGCTGAACGAGACCAAAGAACTGGCGACCTGAGTTTACAGCCAATGTCACGGGCTTCAGCCCACGCTTTGCTCTGCTAAAGGGTAGCACGCCTCTTGTGATCACAAAGAGGTAAAATCTGGCAGAGTTTGGCTAAAACTGCTCCTTTGCAAGAGCTGTGTTCCGTTTTGGACTCTTTATATGAAGCCCAGAAACTTCACGTCCATGTGTTCCCATGTTTCCACATGTTTCCCGGTCAGAAAAGGCTCTGGTCGTCAGCAGCTACTTGACAGAACTGCACTGCTGCAAAAACACACAATATCCTCATTTCATTTCCACGACAGAGCAGAAACCAATTTGGAATCTCTGGGTAGTTAGTGTGAGAGGAAGCCCCAGCCAATCCAATAAAATCACAGGGTGGGAAGCACAGCCCTGCTAGAGGAGCAGCTTTGCCAGCCAGCGACTCCCGCATGGCAGGTGCAAAGTCGAACACAAACCCAGGATCCTATCAGCAAAACCAGAGTCTTATCTGCACCCATGTGTCCTCGGACCCGCGGTGACACCCTGGTGTCCAACCACGTTTCACACTGACAAAACAAGGCAATGGGTTCTGCTTTACACCCACAGGCAGCCCCAGTCCCTGCTCCATCTCTGAGCTCTCACTCTGAAAGAGCTGGCAGGTTCTCAGACCCAGAATACAAGCTATTTCCTTTGCCAGGGCATTATAGTCAGCATGCACAGAAAATTTTGATCTTTAATTACTGTGATTTTATCAGCCAGAACCTCTTCATAAGAATCACAAACACACTTGTTAAGTGTTTGCACTTAATGTGTTTACACCGTAGATGCACTGAGCTATCATTGGTACAATATTATGATCTCCAGCTTGGTGAGAAATACAAGTTCCATTGGAGCTTAAATTGTGCGGTGTGCACAGCAACGAGACTCAGAAACTTAATAATATATAATGTGTTTAGTGCTCATTAATGCAAGTGGGTGGTTGGAGCCTGTCTTAAATCTGCAGTGTCAAAGAAATCTCAAACTAAGGCTCTCACTTAGCCCTTGTTTGCTCCCAAAAACTGACACCCACTGACCAAGACAGCCCCCCATGTCAGACACCTCTAATGACACTGGGCTGCTCAAAGGGTCTTTTTTTGTTGCTCATTCTCAGACATATCCTAAACACTTCACAGGAGAGAGGAAGGAACGGATGGGACAGGTTTACTTATCCCTTCAGGAAGCTTTTAATTCATTAATCACACAGGGCATCTAGACTGCAACCATTTGGCGGATCCATTAAGAGGCTGCATTTCTGCCTCCTGATTTTGTCATTACATGTGAACTCCTAGAGATCTTAACAGAATTAAACTCCTGCTTGACAACAACAACAAAAAAAAAGCCTTAAATATTCTGCTAGAAGAGTTCAATCTATAGTGCTGAGAGCTGCTTCTGTAAACACCATGGGCTTCTACTGGACACTCTAGTCCTCTTTAATGGCTCTGTTTTTGTTTGTTTTGAAGAATCAGAGCTTACTTGATCCACAGTATCAAAAGAGGCCTGATACTCCCGTTGCTGTATCTACTTCCTTGACTTCACCCTAGGGACAGATATTTTACCAAAAAGGTTTAGGGAAAAAAAGTATCACTATGCCTGCAGATTACGGGAGCAAACACAAAGTTATTTTTGCATTTATGCTAAACGACCAACAATGCCCACAAAATGACCACGATTTTGAAGAGTTTTGTTTACTTGAAATCCTGCAAAAATAGCAATGACACATCATAGGAATTGCTTTTTTACCCTTTGACATATTTACAGCCTGGACGGTTGCCCACGCTGTCACATTATCCCATCCCTTACATTTTATGGCTTCCCCCCTCCACTCCTCCACCACAGGGAGGAATTCCACCATTCCATGGCAGGGGAATGATGAGATATTCTTGAGCAACCCTCTAAGATCATCACCACAAAGCAGCAGCCATTCCACACGAGCGGCCTAAAGCTTCACAAGGTGGTGAAACCCTGAAGGACACCAAGAAAAAAGAGCTAGCGGGTCAGGAAAGGACGAGCAGCGAGAAGAGGCTTTGAGCAAAAGCTAAAGCAAATATTGCTCTGCTCTGTCCATTAGAAGGGAAAATATTCCCAGAAAAGAAAGCAGAAAGGGACGCGTGCTTTCCTTTTGAGAAAGGAAAGGAGTCGACAGCAGCAAGGAGATCCAGCTCTTGACTTCATTTCACCTCAGGAGCCACGACTAGAAACCAAATGTCACAGCTCAGAGGTTTACATTTGAGATGTGCCTGCTAAAATTCATGTTTTCTCTTATATCAGTGAGACAAAGATGACTTGGGTCCTAACCAGCAGTACTCACAGCACACACAAGATCAGCTCAGAGGCAGCCACGTCTTATCATCTTCTTCCTATCCTTTATTTATTTGCTGTTTCGATCGAAGTTGCTCCCTTTTAAAATCATTTGGGCAGCTGTACTATGCTCTAAGAGACCCCAAAACAGGCCGTTCCTAACTGTGGTAACAGCTTTGGAGCATAAACAACAGGAGCTGCAGCCAAGCAGTTACCATATGATTACGTGCCTCCTGTTCATCCATTATTAATGATAGGATTCATCCTAGCAATGAAGACAACATTATTTGCATTGTTAATGTCATCTAGGAGATCCCTCACTGAGCAAGAACACAAAAAGATGATAATAGTGGGTGGTTTTCGGGTTCATTTTTAGAAACGTGCTTTAGATGAGCACAGATTTGGCTTTTTCTTTTTATTGCTGGGCGGTTCACAGAGGAGAGGAGGTGGGAAGGCCACGGAGAAGAGAGAAACTGGGCAGTCCAGAAGAGCTGGAGAGTTTCCCACTCTTTCTCACGGGTTATTTTTAACGCTGGTGCCGGAGGGTGATGCCCTAGGGCAGAATTTGCCTTGAGTGAACAAGAGAAGAGCAGGCCGCCTATGTGGGATGCCTCAGTGCAGAACAGGGGCTGCACCAAGAGAAAGAGAGTCTTCAAGACCATCTAAGCATGGATCTGCTCCAATATCCATCCTCTCATGATATTCCTCGGCTTATACTCTATATTTATCTATTTCATTCATTTTAAAAAAAAGATCTGTGAAAGGAAGAAGTGTAGGGAAAGGCAAAGGCAGCGAAACACACGCGCACTTGACACTGAAATAGGATTTCAAGGAGTTTCAGGCAAAAGGGACCTGGAA